ATAGGAGAAATGCCATGCCTTGTTTTGTGGATCCTGAGTAGAAAATACAACTATAAATAACGAATAATGAAGTAAATAATGAAAATTCCAGACAGCTCCAATGTATCGCTTAGCTACTTGTCAAATTGAGAAGAATATGGCAACAATTCGTGATGCGACATTCTGCTTCCTGACAAATCATACAGAATTCATTGCTCGGAAACGAACCATCAGTACAACGTTCTGGAGTAACAAGTATGACCATAGTCACTCTGAACTTAAACTGGAAACATTTCAAGACACACTACCCGATAAGCTGGGTGGAAAACTCCTTTTTTTGAAAGGGCATACCAGACCAATCGTTGCACAAAGTTTACGACATGGAACTGGGCTCTGAAAACAGTTTGCTACTTTACTCTCCACTCATGGTTCATGATGACTACAAAGTGGGAAAGAAACATAAAGGGGGTTACGTTGAGATAAGGTAGAACCAAAAAATCAACACTGCAAGTAAGCCTGGCAGCCACTTCATTTCGAGTTTGTGATGGCATTAGAAAGCGACATGTCCTCCAGATGCCTAGATTTTTGGCCACTAACAAGGAAAAAAGGGGCAAAAAAAAACTCCAATGAACTGCAAAGGATAGATTTTTACTACGGATGCTCTCTTTTCAACTGTCTGTTTTTCTCATCACACACTCTGGAATTGAAATGTGCCTTAGAACTGAGAGTACTGACCACTAACCAAATACTTCTGAACACTAAGTTACATGAGAACAAGTAGAAAAACCTAATTACTTGCAGATTCTGTACCGACATATTCGAACGCAGGACTTTCGCCAGTGCTATGGAGTTGGTTGGCGAGAACCCGACTCTCTTTGCTGTTGTTCGACACCCTATTGACCGGTTTCTAAGCGGTTACGTGGACAAATGTCACAAGTAAGAGTTTGTCGGAGTATCATGACAGATACGCTGAAGAAGTTCCCACCCATCAGTGGGTAGTTTATGGCTACATCAAAAAAGCTACCAAAATCGCTTGTCTATATGGGATTTTCCCGAATGTCGGATGTAACAAAGTGTTCTAAAAGCTTTTGCGAGGAAAAGCCATACACAAAAAAATCTCTCCGGAAAAATTTCCGGGGGTACATTTTTGAAAAGCTTGCCTCTTCGCGTGAATCGCAAAATAGAGTTCCGGCTACCGATTCGGTTTACTTACTCGTTCTACTTGTTCTACATACATCTGGTCGCTACAACGGGATTGCACCAAAAGCTCAAACAACTGTATTTTCTCATATTCAAACTAGGACAGACTTATGTTTGCTATTCCATTTATAAATTTAATTTTTTTATTTAAATTTTATTATTTCAGGACTGTTTTCTACTACTCAGCAGAAGAACGTTGTTTTGGATGCAAATATGACATGAGATGTTTCGTGGAAAAAATGTACAAAACTCTTTTGGGGTATTACGACGGATCTATCAAAAAGTCGCGTATGGTTAAATACTACGTACGACATTTTGCCCCCCAAACATGGTAAGCATACAGATGCATTCCACTTCAGTATTATGGATTTGTTCAAAAATGTACACCATCTTTCTTATAAATCCCTGAAAAGAGGGGAATAAAAAGAAACAAATAAAATTAACCGACACCCGAGTGATGAAAGGCTTGATTGGCCGAAATCCAGCAGGGATTTGACCATGCGCGTGAGGTAGTGCACGACTTGCCACTACACCAGCTTCGACCTCGTTTAACCTATAGAGCGCTAAAAATTACCTATCTGTGTGTGCTTGTGTGATCTCGCCCATTGTGGATGTTTAGGGGGCTCGGAATGGATGGGAAGGTGGGTAAGTCGAATAGTTCGGTTCCAAAGTCCTGAGANGGATGGTGAAACTGCCTAGAAAAATTTACCGCTGAACTCAAAATCACCCTAAAACCTGGCACAAATTACAGTAACTTTAGCAAATGCAGTCTTAACCTGATGTTCATACACGACTTCAACTTCAAAATGACGAACATATCAGAAGGGCCTGAGAACGGGATTGATTGACTACCAGAGACATCATCCTTTTTTTAACCACCGGATGCTGGAAGCTTCAACTGTATGTAATAAACTTAAAGTATACTGGATAAAGACTTTTTTTTTCAAGGTACTGCGAATTCGACAAACACAAAAACGACTACATTCTGATCAACTATCATACTGGAATAAACGGAACACGAAAAATCGCGGATGACTTTGAGAAAGTTTATGAACAAGCGCAGGTGCCAGCCAGCTATCGAGCAACCATACATAGTGAAATGCTAAGTGAGTTTTGATTCTTATTTTGGCACTATTTACCCTTTACTGCCCCACTTTGTCGACAATGGGCTGGATTTCTATTGAATTTTTTTTT